TATTCAAATTGCCCATGAATGTATGCATAGCCTTGATCTTGAGATATTCCAACATTGAATTAGCTCTTAAATATTTTCCTTGCATGTTTGTAGGCACAAAGAGGATCATGTGGACTTGATGAGGCATGGGGGATACCATGGCATGAAGTTTTTTTTTTTAGAAACTTGAATTAAGACTAGAAATAGCTTAATTTCCTAAGCATTACCAAGAGTTTGGATTTTGTAACAAATGTGACATTCTTGCAAATGTCATGAAATTTCTCTTTGTAATATTCTTGAATCTAGCCTTGAATTCATGAACCTTGAATTTGGAATGATGGGCCTCCCTTATGTCATTGAATTTGAAAGAAATGAAGAAATGAGTCAAGCTTTGAAAGAGTGCAAATTTTGGGGTGCAACAAGTAGCAGCTGCAAGTTACGGGACAACAGCTGCAGCAGTAAGAAAAATACTGTTGAAACGCGTCTGGAGTAAAACGTAATGGTAACAGATCAAGAGGAAGTCCAAGGGATTGATGAATGGTACTTGAATTCTGATTGTTCAATGCATATGACAAGTAGAAAAGATTGGTTTGTCAAAATCAATCAAGCCACGAAGAATAAGGGGAAATTCGCAGATGACACCACTTTAGCGGCCGACAGGATCAATGATATTTTGATCATGAGAAGGGATGATGGTAATTCCTTGATCAAAGATGTGTTATACATTCCAAGAATTAAGTGTAATCTTTTAATTATTGACCAATTGCTTGATAAGAATTACATGTTTCACATGGAAAATAAGATTTTACGCGTTTTGGACCGAAACGGGGTTTTAGTCCTTAAAACTCCTATGACTGCCAATAGAACTTTCAAGATAGAGTTGAGAGTGATAGAGCATATGTGTCTTGCTACTACGGAAAGTTAAGAAGATTGGTTATGGCACTACCGTCTTGGGTATCTCAATTTTCGCGATCTCAAAGCGTTGCAACAAAATGGTATGGTTACCGAGCTGCCACACATTAATATTGCAGCTGAGTTGTGTGAAGAATGTGTAAAAGCAAAACAACACAAGGGGAGTTTTATCAAGGATACGGTTCATAGGACCAAGGCTCACCTTGAGGTGGTGTATCCTGATGTATGTGGGCCGATGCAAGTTGACACGTTGGGTGGCAATAGGTATTTTGTCACATTTATTGATGATTTTAGTAGAAAGATATGGACTTACCTTATCAAGAAAAAAGAATGTGGTGTTTGATGTGTTCAATAAGTTTAAGTCCATGGTGGAGAGGCAATGCGGTCAAAAACTCAAAATGCTCAAAACGGACGGTGGAGGTGAATACGTCTCGAATGCCTTTGGGAAGTTTTGTGACCAAGAGAGGATAGTGCATGAGGTTGTACCATCCTATATACCACAAAAAAATGGTGTTGCCGAGAGAAATAATCGATCAATTGTGAACATGGTTCGTAGCATGTTAAGTGGAAAGAACTTGTTGAAGGAGCTATGGGGAGAAGCTATCTCTATAGCCACCTATTTGTTGAATATGTGTCCTACTAAGAAGCTTCAGAAGCTGACACTGAAAAAGGTGTGGTCTGGATTCAAATCGAATCTAAGTCATTTGAGATTTTTTTGTTCGGTGACATATCGACATAGGTCAGGTCAACTTAGAAAAAAGTTGGATGACATGGGTGAGGAGATTATATTGGTTGGATATCAGTCTACTGTAGGATACAAGTTGTTTGATGTGCAAAATCGGAGAATTTTGATCAGCCACAACTTGATTTTTGACGAAATTAGAGCTTCAAGTTCAGGTGTAACCAGTTACACCCAGACATTTCATTATGATGTAGCCGATTACCAGCAGGAAAAACAGAGTTCCAATTCTATAGATCCAGGTGTAACCGGTTACACCCAGCCAGTTTATTTTGGTGTAACTGGTTACCAGTAGAAAATACGGTCCAAATTTTTTTTCTGATCCTGAAATTTCTGAAACAGCCATGCAACCACCGATTGAGGCCGAAATGAAGAGAATGTTAGACAATCAACAAGGCAAAGGGTGTTACCTCAAAGACTCCAAGAATGTGAGAGATTTCGATACAATGAAATCAATGATGATGGTGATTTCGTCCACTTTGGGCTTATGGTCGAATCTGAACCGTTGAAAATGAAATAGGCTCTAAGCAATCCAAAGTGGATTTGTGCAACAAATGAGGAGCTGGAATGTATTGAAAAAATAGTACTTGGGAGTTGGTTGATTTACCGCTTGGAAAAAAGCTGATAGGTGTTCGATGGGTCTATAAAGTGAAGACAAATATCAAAGGTGAGGTGATCATAAGGCTCGATTGGTAGCAAAGAGATTCTTGCAACGTGAAGGTATAGACTTTGAGGAGGTGTTTGCACATGTGGCTAGGATAGAAACCGTCTGATTAGTTGTCGGAATTCCGATTAATAACGATTGGGCGATATATCAAATGGACGTCAAATCTGCGTTTTTGAACGGTCCACTTGATGAAAAGGTTTATGTTGAGCAACCCCCCGGGTTTGTAGTAAATAATCAAGAGATTAAATTCTACAAATTGAATAAAGCATTATATAGTTTGAAACAAGCTCCAAGAGCTTGGAAAAAATGCATTGATGGTTTTTTTAATTGATATTGGTTTCAAGCGGTGTGTGTCTGAACACGGAGTGTATGCAAAGACGAATGAGAATGATGGTGTGATCATTATTTGCTTGTATGTTGATGATCTATTGATTACCGACAGCTGTGAGAAGACTATCTCTAAGTTCAAAAGTGAACTTATGGATGAATTTGAGATGACAAACCTTGGTATTATGACGTATTTCCTTGGCATAAAGTTCCACAAGTCAAAAACGGGATTGCTCATGCATCAAAGGAGATATTCTCTTGAGATCTTGAAGAGGTGTGAAATGAAGCATTATGATGCGGCCATTACACCATGTGAAGCAAGGTTACAACTGCCCAAGAGTGAGGATGAGCAAGATGTAGATCCAACGCAATATAGGCGATTTATTGGATCATTGCGGTATTAGTGCAATACACGACCAAACTTGGCATTTAGTGTCAGTATTTCTAGTAGATTCATGGAGAAATCAAAGGTGTCTCACTTGATATCGGTCAAGAGGATCCTTAGATATGTTAAAGGAACTCTTGGTCGCAAAATTCTCTTTCTCGCGTCAGATACGAGCCGAAAATGCGATTTACTTGGCATCACCGATTCCAATTGGTGTGGTGACAAGGGTGATATAAAGTCAACGGTCAAATACATATTTATGTTTGGTAGGACACCAATCTCTTGGTGTTTGAAGAAGGAACTAATGTTATCACTCTCGTCTTGTGAGACCAAGTATATTGCGGCATCGTTGTATATGTGTCAAGCTATGTGGCTCATGAATCTATTGAAGGAGTTAGGTGGCTATGAGGGCAAGGCTACTACACTTCTTATTGATAATGCTTATGCGATAAACCGTGCAAAAAATTCGATTGCACACGGAAAAAGCAAGCATATAGAAATGTTGTTTCATATTTGAGGGAGCTAGCGAGTGAAGGCAAGCTAATATTGGGATATTTTCGAAGCTAAGGGAATAACAAATGAGGTGTTCAAGAGGTTGAAGATGAGCTTGAGCATGCTCGACTTGGAACAATTGAAATGTGGTAATCGGTTACATGCTGAGACAGAAGCATGGGTTGGTTACTGGAATTGGGTGTAACCAGTTATCCTAAATATGGTAACCGGTTACACTAAGAGTTTTTTAGTTTTCAGCTTATTTTTTAAGTTGCTTTTGTATTTTTCCAATTTTTGTCCATGTTGTATAAATAGCCTGCAGTGCTCTTATTTGGGATTAATGCTAATTTTAATTCTCACCCTCAATTACTCTTGTAAGTTCTTTGTTGGCTGCATTTTTGCTAAAACAGGATGTTGTAACTATGTGTTGTGCATGTCTTGACATATGTTCAAATATCTAAGCAGTTTGGTTTTTTAGAGGTTATAGAGCTTCAGTTCATGATGTCAAGACTGATGTCCTGACATGTGGTAACAAAACTGAACAACATTCTGTTTAGAATGTATGGTATGTTTGTTACGCTTTATTTGTAATTTTTTGTGATAAGAGACTACAGGCGAAGATCATGGTGGAATTTTTATTTGAAACAAAGATATTCTGTTGCATATTTAAAGGAGCTAATTGTGGGATCTCTTGACCTAATTTCATGGCTATAATCATGAGAAGACTTGACTAATTGATTGATTTAATTTGATTAAATATGATTTGCTTTTACCAATGCCCAAGCCCATGAAGAAGCATTGTCTCTATACAAAGACATGTCAATCCTAATTGAAGACGATGGAAGTTAGGGTTCAGAGTGTGCATTACTTAGGAATTAGGATTGTGGTTTGTTTTGTGTTTTGTTAATTGTGAACCATTCATTCATTACTTAGATGCTTGAACTAGACTGAGTTTATTGAGTTGTAATTATTCACTCTAAGATTTTAAGCAATAATGTATTGTTCTTGATTGAAGCTTTTAAGTAAGATCAATGATTTTTTTGGAAGTGTGTCTTCTATTCTTTGTTGTTAGTTCTATCATTGTTGTGTGATTGAAGAGAAGTGAGAAGGGTCTCATATCTAGGAGTGTCTTAGATAGATATTGCACGGGTAGATATTAGGTGAGAAGATTGCAAACCTGAGGTTGTTTGCTGATAATCTTCAAACTAATTTTGTTTTAGTGAATTTCCTTCCTGGGTTGGTAGTCCCTAGATGTATGTGAGTTGTACCGAACTACGTTAACAATTGCTTGTGTTGTTTACTATTTTCTTACTCTGATTAGATTAGATATGATATCAAATCTAATCATATGATAAATCTAATCATATGATATCTAATCATATCATATCAAATTAATCATATGATATCAAATCTAATCATATGATATCAAATCTAATCATATCAAATCACAATGAATTATATTTAACAGCAGCATCTACAAGTTCTAACAAAGCAATAGAATGACGCAGTTTGAAGAATTGCCCGAGGAATGCATATCCACTATACTCTCTCGCACTACTCCCGTTGACGCGGGCAGACTCACTCTCGTTTCCAATACTTTACATTCTGCTGCCGATTCTGACGCCGCCTGGAATCAATTTCTCCCTTCTGATTCTCATTTCATGGATTCTATCGTCTTTAGTTCTCCTTCACTTGCCAACGTTCCTTCCAGAAAGGCTCTCTACTTAGCTCTATCCGATCGCCCTATCATCATCGACAATGGTCTCAAGGTATTGTTCTCACCAATTTCTCCTATGTTAGGGTTTATCATGTTGAGTACGTAGTAAGTAAACTGAATTGATAACGCAGAGCTTTCAATTGGATAGAAAGAGTGGGAAAATATGTTACATGCTAGCGGCTCGATCTCTTACCATTGCTTGGGTTGACGATGAACGCTACTGGAAGTGGATTTCTATGCCTAACTCCAGGTTAGCTTAGCTCTTAAGTTTTTTATTTCTTTTTATTTCTTTTTTATGTTACTCCCAGCTTTCTCTCATTTCTTATATTTTAATCGTAACTTTTGTACAGGTTCCCTGATCCGCGGTCGCTCGCGGATCAAAAACGAGTAGTTTTTATAAAAATGCAGTACAGCGACAGTGACTCGGAATATCGTTCTCACAAGGATTCTTGTAGTGATTAACCAATTACAGTAATGAAATAAAAAGGGGGTTTTTGGTTCGATTAGGGAAGAGTAATTAACAAGAGTAATTTTCGAAATAAGTTGTTATGAAGAAAATTGATTATGAAATAAGTCAATCTACCGATTCGGTTCCTACTATCATTGATTATTATAATATTGATCTTCTAAGTGTCATTCCTATCTGGATGCAAACTCAATGGCAAGCGCAAAAATGTTTGTAAGATTTATGATCCTAATGTCCGAATTAAGCAAACGGGATAAAACTTCATGAATTAAGCAAACATGATTGTTCAGACACACAAACGAATTAAGCAAACGTAAACGTGTCTATGCCTAGGACCATACAATCAACCAAATTAAATCAATAATATCATGCAATCGAATTAAGCATACAAGAACATAAAATTATTGAACGGAATTAACAAATAGTAATAATATTATAATAATCTCAAGTGTTGGAACCTGAATTACGGTAGACCGACTCAGAGGGATTAGTTCTCCATAGGATTCGTAAAAGCTTCAAGGTTTTTTTCTCGTGAATAGTAGGTAATGTGAACAGTAATACGATTTCTCTTTAAAAAGGAAAATAATGGATCAAAACCCAACTGGGTCAAAAATATAACCCAGGCCCAAAACATCAAAACTAAAATAAAATTCTAATGCTGTAACTTGAAACGGAAATCTGGAATTTTGAGCTCCGAATCTGACTTCGACTCCAACACGAAAGTTGTAGCTCTCTCTCTTAGCTTTCCGGCGATATTTAGAACGCCTCAATCAGATTCTCGGAACTCCAGTTATGATCGTTTCCGTGCAGACTGCTAAAGCTGAAAAATAGTTGCGAAAATTAAATTAAATCAAAAATAAAATAAAATAAGAAAACATGATAAAATATAATAATAAGCAAAATAACATAAAGAAATGCCTAAGTAAAAATGTAGGAGAATGTGCATAAATATGCACTGATCAAATTCCCCCGGACTTGAACTTTTGCACTCCGAGCAAAATTAAATTCAAATAAAACAAAGGAAACTCATTCCAGGCTACAAGACTTCTTCGGTTAAGTTTGCCTCGATAGGTACTAATCTTCAACACTAAGGATATCGTAGGAACACTAACCCACAATTGCGCAGTCATAACCCTCCTGAATATACAAATCAATTCGAATAATGTTATTATGCTAAAGCCTAACTTATTCTTCCTCCTTTTTGCTCTTTTCCATTCAGGCGCAATCACATTAAGCCCGTTATCTCCACACACTCATAGCAAGGCGACCGGTTAGTGACTCTGATCTCTCTTTTTTTTTTATTTTGGGGTTCTGGTACTTGCGTGGCATAACCCCTTATTGACTCAATTGTAGTTGTGGGGGATCGGACCGTAATCCGCCCTACCAAGTTCAGCACCAGAAACCGCTGAACCAACTAACTATCTTTCTTTTCTTTTCTGTGTTTCTTTTTTTTTCTTTCAACTTTTTCCCTTTTTTTTCTTTTTGATCACTCACTTATATTCATCGGCTTCCCTGCGTAGAGTGTGCATGAGATGGTGCTGACTGCTGAAATAAACTACTCAAGAGCTGTCAGAGAATGAAAATTCAAGGCTAAAACATAGAGAGTATTCAAATTAATTTCCACATGCAGGAGACTTACGGTGTTCAGACGATACCGATCTTGCGAATTTTTTTCCCAAGTCTCCGCAAACTACTCTCAAATCAGTCTATAAACCTAGAACTTTTTATTTTTTTATTTTTATTTTTATTTTTATTATAACTGAAAACAAAACAAAACAAAACATAAAGAAAAACAAATGTAAATGTTTCCCTCCCCCAGACTTAAAACGAGCATTGCCCTCAATGAAAGGACATAATGATAAAAGTAGAGAGAAGGAAAGAACAACTCCCTGATTAAGTTGCAGTGTAATTAGGCGCTTCTAGAGAAAGCTCCTCTATACCGACATCTTCAGGCACCGAACCTCCATAGAATAACTTCAGACGCTGCCCGTTGACCTTGAAGACTTTGTCAGTACCTGTACTTTTAATTTCTACTGCACCATGAGGGAAAACATTAGTAACAACGAAGGGGCCAATCCATTTGGATCGAAGTTTCCCAGCCATAAGCTTAAGGCGGGAATTAAACAATAAAACCTGTTGGCCCACAGAAAACTCTTTCCTAGAAATCATTTTATCATGGAAGTGCTTAGTTTTTTCTTTATAAATCCTAGAGCTTTCATAAGCCTCTAATCTAAGCTCTTCCAACTGTTGTAATTGGAGTTTTCTTTCAATACCTGCTTGTTGCATCTCCAAATTACAACTTTTCACTGCCCAATAAGCACGGTGTTCTATCTCAACAGGAAGATGACATGCCTTACCAAAAACAAGTCGATACGGAGACATCCCAATGGGTGTCTTGAAAGCTGTTCTTTGAGCCCAAAGTGAGTTTTCTAGACGACGGCTCCAATCCTTCCTGTTTGGTTGCACCATTTTTTCTAAGACCTGTTTGATCTCCCTGTTTGAGATCTCAGCTTGCCCATTAGTTTGTGGGTGATATGCAGTAGAGACTCTATGCACAACTCCATACTTTCGGAGCAAAGCTTCCATGGTGCGGTTACAGAAATGAGTGCCTTGGTCACTGATGATGGCTCGCGGTATTCCAAACCTGCAAAAAATATTAGACCGGACAAAATCTGCAACAACTCTAGAATCATTAGTCCTAGTGGGGATAGCTTCCACCCACTTTGAAACATAATCAACAGCAAGTAAAATGTAAAGGAAACCAAATGATACAGGAAAGGGACCCATGAAGTCAATTCCCCATACATCAAATACCTCACAGAAAAGCATAGGTTGTTGAGGCATTTCACTCTTGCGAGTGATGCTTGTTCCTGCTATCTGGCACTCTTTACAAGTGCGGTAAGTCTCATAAGCATCTTTAAAAATAGTTGGCCAATAGAAACCTGAATCAAGAATTTTTCGTGCGGTTCTTTGAGGGCCAAAGTGTCCTCCGACTTGAGATGCATGAGAAAATTTTAAAATGGATTCAATCTCATAGTCGGGAACACATCTTCTAATTACCTGATCACTACCAAACTTCCACAGATATGGATCATTCCAAACATAATATTTGGCATCGCTTTTGAGTTTATGAATCTGTGATCTGGATGCACCTGTAGGAAAAACACCAGCAACAAGATAATTAACAATATCAGCAAACCAAGGTGTAATACCATGTAAAACTAAAAGCTGCTCATCAGGAAAGTCATCCTGAATGGGAAAAAGATCTTCATCTCTCTCTATCCTGCTCAAATGGTCAGCCACTAAGTTCTCAACTCCACTTTTGTCTTTAATCTCTACATTAAACTCTTGGAGCAACAACATCCACCGAATCAGTCTCGGTTTTGCATCCGGCTTCTTCAACAAGTACTTTAAAGCTGCATGGTCAGTAAAAACAACAACCTTGGAACCTAGAAAATAAGATCTGAATTTATCAAGAGCAAAAACAATAGCTAGAAGTTCTTTTTCAGTGGTAGTGTAATTTGACTGTGCAGAATCTAAAGTCCTAGAAGCATAGTAAATAACATGGGCAGCCTTGTCAACTCTTTGTGCAAGGACAGCCCCAACAGCATAATTCGAAGCGTCACACATAAGCTCAAAAGGGAGGGTCCAGTCAGGGGGCTGAATTATGGGAGCGGAGGTCAATGCTTTCTTCAAGAAGTCAAACGCCTGTTTGCATTTGTCATCGAAGTGGAAAGTGACGTCATTCTTCAACAAGTTTGACAGCGGAAGAGCTATCTTGCTGAAATCCTTGATGAAACGCCTGTAAAAACCTGCATGACCAAGAAAAGAACGAATCTCGCGAATGCAAGATGGGTAAGGTAGTGTAGAAATCACATCAATCTTAGCAGGGTCAACAGAAATTCCTTTTTCAGAAATTATATGACCAAGAACAATTCCCTGCTCAACCATAAAATGACATTTTTCATAATTTAAAACAAGGTTGGTTTCAATGCATCTTTCTAAAATCAAGCTTAAACTGCTCAAGCATGCATCAAAAGAAGAACCATAAACAGTAAAGTCGTCCATAAAGACTTCCATGCAATTTTCAATAAAATTAGAGAAAATACTAAGCATACAACGCTGGAAAGTGCCAGGAGCATTGCAAAGACCAAAAGGCATCCGCCTATACGCAAAAGTACCGAAGGGACAAGTAAAAGTGGTCTTCTCTTGATCTTCCGGTGCAATATGAATCTGAAAGTAACCTGAAAAGCCATCAAGTAAACAGTAATGTGATTTACCAGCTAGCCGTTCAAGCATTTGGTCGATGAACGGTAAAGGAAAGTGATCCTTTCTAGTAGTTTGGTTTAGTCTCCTGTAATCGATACAAACTCTCCAGCTATTCTGCACTCTAGTGGAAACAAGTTCATTCTTTTCATTTTTGACAACCGTAAGTCCGGATTTCTTAGGTACAACCTGCACTGGGCTTACCCATTTACTGTCAGAGATAGGATAAATGATACCTGCTTGCAAGAGTTTGGTTACCTCTTTCTTCACGACATCAAGAATCAAGGGATTAAGCCTCCTTTGGGGCTGCCTTACTGTTTTCGCACCATCCTCGAGTAAAATTCTGTGCATACACATGGAAGGACTAATTCCTGGAAGGTCGGCTAATGTCCATCCGATTGCCTTCTTGTGCTTCTTCAAAACCTGCAAAAGCTTGTTTTCTTGATCGAAATCAAGGTTAGAAGAAATAATAACAGGGAGTATTCCCCGGCAACGGCGCCAATTTGATCCGCGGTCGCTCGCGGATCA